AAATATGTGAAATAATATATAAAATATGATTTTCAAGTTCGCCTGTCAAATAACCTAAATTTGCAAATTTCATCTATTAAATGTGAGAAAGAGAAGTCATTAAATTGAAAAAAACCTTACCAAATATAAAGTACCTGTGACTAACTTTTAGTTTTTCTTAGCACTTTTTTCCTTTTTTCTTCATAAATGTGAAATAAAAAGCAATAAAAATTGTCACTTTGCTTATTTTCACTATTTTTAAATGTAAATAACTTTCTTGGAGAAAACTGAAAAATTACAAAACTTGGGCAATATCTAATTGATCACTAAATACACACACTGGAAAAAAATTCGCTTTGGTCCCGAAGATACTTTTTGAGATAATTATTTTTAAATTTTTCACAATTTTTATCAGGTTAATGCATGTGATTTTTATAAAATTGAAGTTAGTTCAAAATGTTTAACCAATAAAACCTAACTTCGTCCTTAAAAAACTACATGTATTAACCTGATAAAAATTGTGAAAAATTTAAACATAATTATCTCAAAAAGTATCTTCGGGACCAAAGCGAATTTTTTTCCAGTGTGTGTAGTTAGTGATCAATTAGATATTGCCCAAGTTTTGTAATTTTTCAGTTTTCTCCAAGAAAGTTATTTACATTTGAAAATAGTGAAAATAAGCAAAGTGACAATTTTTATTGCTTTTTATTTCACATTTATAAAGAAAAAAGGAAAAAAGTGCTAAGAAAAACTAAAAGTTAGTCACAGGTACTTTATATTTGGTAAGGTTTTTTTCAATTTAATGACTTCTCTTTCTCACATTTAATAGATGAAATTTGCAAATTTAGGTTATTTGACAGGCGAACTTGAAAATCACATTTTATATAATATTTCACATATTTAAATAATTATATCAATTGATAATGATAAATTTATTCATTCTTAGTAAATTACAACAATTTTTTTTATTTTTATGGTAAATTCTGTTTTTTTTTTGCATATTTTCTAATGGCTAAAAAATTGACAGTTTTCAGCACCTCATAAACTTTAAATTCATATTTTGCAATAAATAATTAAAATTTTAATAAAATTCTTTTCATTTCGTGATCTTGATAACTTCAAAATCATTCTTGCAAAGTATTATAATTTTTAAAAATTAGTCAGCGACGACTTCAGTCGAAATATAATGGATTGACCCATATATTTTTTGTAGTATAGAAAAAAAACAAAAATGTGGAATTTTACTATTTTCTGAGTTTTTACAATTTCCTATAGATAAAGTACAATTTTTTTTTGCGTTATCACGAAATAATGAAAAGTTACTGATTTCTGTAATTTTACAGAATTTGTCAGGAATTCTACATAACCTAATAGTAAAACTATAAATCCCTGTAATTTTACGTTATTTCCGTAATAACGCTACTTTCATAGTAGGTAATATTTGGTACTGCATTTAGAGTAGTAAAAGTACAGGAAAAATTTTTTATTTTATTTTTATTTTTCTTTAAAACTGTTATATAAAATTTCTTTCGTTTTAGTGCACCTAACCTATAAAATGTATTGATAAATGACAACTATTTTATTTTGATAAATAACGGAATTTAATTATTTATATGCTTAAAAACATTTTTCATTGTTATTTTTTAACAGTTACCAACTAAAATTTTTAATATTTCTGTATAAATACAGTAATATTAGAGTCAGATTGAATGTTCCACAATTTATTATGGAACATCCGTATAGGTGTGAAAATAATGTTCCATAAATATATCCATCAGCATTTTTCTGAATTTTATTTATTAAACAAATCAAATTAATCAAAATTAATCTTTAAAGAGTCTTTTCAAAAATCTACAATGGCAGATCAATCGATTAGTAATTTCTTATAAATTATTGCAACTTTTAAAAAATTTAGTTGTCTATAATATTAAAATCTACTATATGTGATAAGGTTCAAAAAAATTTTATTTAATTTGACTCTTAACAATGCTTTATTTTCTTCTAAATGGACTAAAGTTCGTAATCTATTTCGTGTTTAAATAAAGTGATAAGTCGCTAACAAGCAACTAGAAATGCAAGTTTATCTAATCTACTTTTGTTTTGAGATGTAAGAGGAAAATCCTCTCAAATGAAGAATTTTACTTTTGATATAATTTAGATAGAACAAATTGAAAAAATAGAGATGAAAAATGAGAGAAAATTTACTAGAATCTATAAAATTTAAAATTTCTAAAATGTTCCCGAAAAAAAGTTTAAAAAAATTTATTAATGTGATTATTTTCAAAAATAATATTTCTTTAAAAACTTCATTTTCAAAAATATGAAAAAAAGAAAGTTATACATTCGGTAAGTCTGGACATATCTAATATTATTAAACACTGAATAATTATTTTTTTTTAAATATAAAATTCGAGATTATAAAATAATGTTCTAAAATTTCAACTTTTAATTATTTTTTCTATTTTTCTATTATTTTTTTCTAATTTTTCAACTTCTTATTATTTAAAAAAATAAAAATTACGTTATAATATCATGATTAATGAACTAAGAAAATATTCAAGTTTAACATATTTAAAAAATTATTTTTTTTTCAAACTATAATCGTAATAGTTTTAACAAACAAAAATTAATGAATTTATTTAAATATAAATAAAAAATATTTATAAATATTTATAAAATCAATAAATAAATAAAAATACAAAATAATTTATCAAATTTAAATAAAAATTATTACGAATTAAGTCAATAATTCCATACAAAAATAAGGTCACACATAAATGAGGTCAAATAAAAATTAGTCAAATTAAAAATAATTATAATCATCAGACGATTAAGTGAAATTGAAAATTAAATTAAATAAAAATTCAGATAAAATAAGAATTAAAACAAATAAAGATTACTATAATATATAAAATTATATATAATTAAATAGTATAAAATTATATAAATTATTTGAATGTTAGAAAAAATTACTAATCCTTATTTATAATTATTAGCAATATAATTAAACAAAAATATTATATACTTAGAAGAAAATATAAATGAACATTAGATCATAAGTTTAACAATTTAATAAAATTTTTTTTTTTTTTTTAATGAACCACAATTATTTTTACCTGAAATTAATTAAAATAGAGGGAGAGTTATTTTAAAAAAAAAAAAAAAAACTTTGATACACAATTAATCCAAAAAGAAATAAATACATGTATAAACTGTGTTGTATTTTAGAAATTTAGTTCTAGTTCAATCGAGACTTTGATACCTCACTTCGTTTTAATAATCATGTTGACATTACTTAACGAGAGGCCTTATCTTATAAAACCTGTCGTACTTTTTCTAATTCTGCTATGTTAAGAACACTAATCGATTCCTTAGTTCTATCTAAATTGAAACAACAGTTTTTATATATCGAAAATAATAAAATATTTATACATATATTAAAAATTATATAATTAAAAATTCTACATTAAATTATCGTAAAGTTGGTATTTTTTTTAAATTTACGTTTATACAGGTTTTTTTTACTTATAATAGTCTAATCTCTGCTGAGTGATAAATTGATTTAGATATTAATATTACTTTTTTTTTTTTTTGATGTTAAATAAAAATTTTTCATTTTATTTGGAAATTAAGTAATAAAAGTATTGTTTTTTTTTTTTTTTAAATTCGAATGTAGAAAATAGATAAAATGGTTGTTTTTTAGATAAAAAAAAAAAATTTATATATTTTTAAACAAAGTTTTGAACAATTTTTATTAAAGGCGGAAGATAATTTTCTTTTACTTTAAAGAAACTCGATATTACATTCAGGGTGAGTAAAATGATTTTATTTTGTTTTTCAAATAAATAATTTCAAACTCTAAATTTGGGACCAATATTAATCTTGCAATATCAAGAATATTAGTAGTAGTAGTAAATCGTTTATTCAAACAGAACTGTCTATAACGTACAAATAATATTAAAATAATCACTTATAATAATAAAAAAAAAAAAATTAGCCGTATTAACACAAAAAACTATACAGTACATATGAGAATATGTAGTTTTTAACGAAAAAATAAATCCCGATACTCATACTTTTTTTTTTGATTTATTACTTAAAAAATAATTAAGAAATTTTTTTACGACGTCCAATTACTCTTTTAACTTTTAATTGTTTAACAATTTTCATTTTAAATTGTTAAACAGTAAAGCTGATAATAATTTATTGATTTAATTACTATGTTCAGGTTTATAATTTAATAAAAGGAAAAAAAAATTTCTCTTCCTATTAAATATTAATTAATAATAATATTAATTATAATTATTAAATAATAAAATTTAATTTTTATCTTGTAAATAGTGAAAAAATAAAAATATAATTTTTTTATTTTTGCATTCAGAATAAATTTCAAATATATATATATATAATAATTTTTAAATAATAATTAATAATAATAATTTTTTTTTACAAATCAAAATAATTTTTTCATTAGAAGAAAAATAATCTTATTTGAATTTTTTTCTTAATAAAATCTAAGAAAGATTATTATGTAAAATAAATTATTGAATCAATATAATTCCTTGTTAATCTAATGAAAAAATTATTTTGATTTGTAAAAAAAAATTATTATTGCTTCTAAAATGATAAAATTTTATTTATAAAATAAAATCGAATAATTATAGAAATAGAAAAAAAAATCGATAGAAATTGTCTTAAAAATAAAATTTAACAGATAGAAAGAGTTTTTAATTAAATTATGGCAGAAAAAAAAATTATTTATTAAAGAAAACCTCAAGAGAGGTTAGAAATTTAACTGTTGACAATGTATTTATTTTGCTACACGAGGGAAAATTCAATATTTTTTTTTCTCATACATTAATTTTTTCTTTTCGAATTTTTAATAAAAAAAAAAAAAAAAATTTGTAGCAAAATTTTATTTATAATTATCTTTGTTAAAAATTGTATAATATAATAATCATGATACTAAAGTCAAGTATTATGACACTTAAATGACTAATTAACCTTGATGTATTTCTTACCTTGATTATAATTATGATGCACTTTTTGGTTGAAACTAATTTTTATTTTACAATCATAAAAACAGCAGTTTTATTTTAATTCAAGTTTAATTTATAATTATTTTCTTTAAACACATCACTTTTAAATCATTTTTTTTTCAAAATTCAATGTTCAGCAAAAAACATATTCAAGTAAATAAACTACCCAGCCCATTGTAATATGTTCAGGATTGGCAAGGTTTGACTATTAAGTCAGGGTTGAAGAATAATGTTTTTTCTTTTAACGTAGTTTACGTATATTTGTAGAGAGAAACCTCTGTAATGTGACACTTGTGAGGCTGAATTTATGGTACGGTCACAGCTCAGTTGCCTGTCTGCCTGCGGGGTAAAGGGGCGACATGAGTGTAAGTGAGAAGAAAAACTTGCTTTTTTTTGTTTAGGCCGTTTCCGAATTGAATTGGGATTTTTAGCGCACTTTTGATAAAGTGTATACTCGGGAAGTATGCAGTGTTCTTTTTTCGCACGGAAAAACAAGGACACTGCATACTTCTCTAGTATACACTTTATCAAGTATGCGCTAAAAATCCCAATTCGGAAAGGGTCTTACACTCATGTCGCCCCCTCGCCTCGTCTGCCCACAGACAGGCAGGCAGCCGAGCTGTGACCTCACCATTACAAGACTGTAATTTGTGTTAAACAATAGGCCTAAGTAGAATAAAACCTCTAATCGTAAATCTTAAGCTTTTAGATGAGAGAGAAAAGGATATAAATATCTTCTGTCCTTTTCTCTCTCATGTAAAAAGCTTAAGGCCAAAGCAGAATAGAAACGTAACCGGAATAATGAGTTAGAGAAGGACAAACAATATATCTATCCTTTTCTAACTCATTCTTCCGGTTGCGTTTGCGATTACGATTCCGGTTACGTTTCTATTCTGCTCAGGCGTTTAAAATTTACGATTAAGGCACTTGTATACCTCCCCTATTCCGAGTATACTCTCGTCGTGTACCATTGGAGTAAAAGAGACGGAAATATCTTTTGTCTCTTTTACTCCAATGGTACACGACAGAAGTATACTCGGGATTGGTGAGGTATACAATCACCTTTAGAGGTTTCATTGTGCATTGGCCTTAACGTAAATCTTAAGCTTTTACATGAGAGAGAAAAGAACAAAAGATGTTTCTATCCTTTTCCCTCTCATCTTAAAGCTCAAGATTTATGATTAGATATTTCATTCTGCTTAGGCCTTATTAGGTATTTCAAGTTGAGCGGGGGAAATCCAAAATGGCGATTAAGTGGTTTCAAAAAAAAAATAAACATTAGAAATATACGAAATAAAGTCGAATTTTTTTAATATCTCGCTTAAATGAAATTTTTGAACCTAAGTATATTAGAATTTTAGTTTCTATTTTTAATAACTAATTTAATATAATAATAAAAGTTATTTAAAAAATAAAATTGTTTTTTTATTATTGAATTAAATAAGTCATTAAAAATTGAAAATAATATCCTAATAAAATACTTAAGGCACTTGTATACCTCATCAATCCCGAGTATACTTCTGTCGTGTACCATTGGAGTAAAAGAGACAAAAGATATTTCCGTCTCTTTTACTCCAATGGTACACGACGCAAATATACTCGGGAGCGGTGAGGTATACAAGCGCCTTTAGGTTCCAAAATTTCATTTAAGGAAGATATTAAAAAAATTCGACTTTATCCCGTATATTTCTAATGTTTGTTTGTGCATCACTTAATCGCCATTTTGGATTTCCCCCACCCAACTTGAACTACCTAATTTTGGCGTTTTGCACGCACCGTTTTAAGGTTTGTTCCACAACAGGCAAAATCGTATCGTCTTGAAGACGATTTTCATGCTAAAACGATGCGCGCGCATGCTTTTTCTTGTTGGTTTCTATTGTCCCCACTCGCCATTTGTTATAATTCTCATCAACTACTGCACCCTGCTCTAGTGAAAATTTAGTAACTTTATTGTTAAAATTAAAAGTTACTATAACGTTATTAAATTTTTACTAGAACAGAGTGCGGTAGTTAACGAGAATTATAATAAATGGCTAATAGACCTTTTCATGCTGATCATTCTGTCCTCTTCCAACTCATGCGTCATTGTATGCGCTAGATAAGGACAGAACGACCAGCATGAAAAGGTCTATGGAAACAATGTCAATCTACCAGGCAGCTTAAAAGTGCTTTTATACCTCCTTTTTCGATCGGATGAACAAATATTTTGGACCGTAAAATTGCATATCAGTGAATGTGATTGGCTCTAAAAAAAACTACGTGAACATTGAATTTTTGTAGAGCCAATCACATTCACTGATATGCATTTTCACGGTCCAAATTATTTGCTCATCCGATCGAAAAAGGAGGTATAAAAGCACCTTTAGGTTATGTTGACATGCTTGCGATTGAATTCTGCGTTTTGCGTTGAACAATGAGAGGGAGAGAGAGAGAGATTTTTGTTACACTCCTTGCTCAATGCAAAACACTGCATTCGAACGCACTTATGTGAACACAGCCTTACCCTTCAAATTTTTTATTCAAACTACACAAACCTGATTGATTCTCTACAATCTGACTAATTGTTAACAACCAATCAAAGTTTGTTAATTTAGAAAAAGAAAATTTTCCACACAAGATGTAAATACACCTTTATTCACTTCTTTGTTACATTTACATACGTCATGACATTTGAGTTACGCGTGACTACCTAACTCAACCCTGATGACGTTAGCAGACGTTAACTGGCAATGTACTTTTTTTCTGTGAAAATCAGTTGGTAGTTATGCACACTAAAATGAATAATGGTGTTTTTAGAAATATGAAAAAAACAGTGTTGCACATTTTTCTATATTAATATTCATCGTAATTGTATTTAACAATGGAAATTAAAGTGATTTTTATAAGCGTTCATTAGTGTTTATTAGTTATCTCTTATTTGTGTAAATTTTCATGTCACATATTAAACGGGATGTATTTAATATGTTTATAAACATTTCTTTTAAGAAACATATAAAATATTTTCATTTAATAAATAATAATTTCAATAAATTTTCTCAAATTTGAAAATATTTATATCAACAAGAAAAAGACAAAAGTAAGTGACATATTTTCATTTTTATTTTCTTTTAATATATATTTGCTAAAAATTTTTTCTTAATATTTTTAATATAATGAAAATTTAACCTTCCTTTTTTTTTTTGCTTTACATTCTGACTCTTTTCTTCATTCACCAAGGACGTTTTGTTATTTTTATTTTTTTCACGAAAAAATGTTTAATGTATTTATATCAATGTGGGTCAGTAAGAAGAATGAGTGTATAGGAAGTGTAATTAGAAAACAATGGATTTGTTTTTAGTTGTAAATTTGGATTATTTTTTATTTTTTGGTGAAATATTATTATTTTTTTTTTTAAATCATTTATAACACGTGTTTTATTTTTATAGTTTGACAGAACAATTTTTATGTTTTTCATTGTGGGTTTTTTTTTTTTTTTTTAATTGAGTGTCAATTGATTGTTCCAAGTAATTTAAAAAAAGAATTTATGAGTCAAATATTATTGTAGAGGGTAATGACACTTAGTGAATAAGAATTGACATCGTAATAAGAGAAAAAAATATTGTATTTTTTCTTTTGAAAATAATAATTTTGACAAATCATTGTTTTTAGTACATATTTTAAAAATATTTAAATATTTAATATTTATTTTTAAAACTAACTTAATTTTGTATTGGGGGAAAAGATATTTTTTTTCTTTAAGAGAAAAGTGTTTTTTTTTTCAACTTTTTTATTATTAAGTCAAAAAATCTTAATCACTTATATAATTAAAAGTTACGAATTCCTTTCCTGGTATTTGTATGTTGTCATTTTCCAATAAAAGAAAAAAAAAAAGTATTCTTTTATTGGAAACTGTGATATCCTGTAAAAGAATTCCATTTATGAGTCATTCTTACTCAAACGGATCACCTAAAATTATCGAAATAAGACATTAATTTTTCAAGGTAAAATCTTTTTTTTTTTACTCATAATGTGATCAAAATAAATTTCTCAAAACTTAGATCAAAAAATATGTTTAATACAGGCTTCGAATTATACGACTTTTTCGACTTTTTTCGACTTATTTTAATAAAATGCGACTTTTTCGACTTTTTTTTTTTACAAAATTTTTAAACAAAATACGTTTTTTTTTAGTATACAATGCAGATATTCTTCAGATCATCTTTATTTCAATTATTTAACAAATTTTTAACTAAAAATCCTTCACTAAATTAATTTTATTTTTAATAATTTTAATGAAATTCTTCACAAATTCAATTATCTTAAATTATTTTTCAATGAAAATTTTTTATGAAATTTAATAATTGTTTATAATTAAAAAAAAAAAAAATTATCAAAAATTTTTAATTTAAAATCACTTGAAATTTAATTATTTGCAAAAAATTTCGATTATTTTTGAATGATTTTCTTTGAAAATTCAATTACCTGAAAGCATTTTTTAATTAAAAACTTATAGAATTCAATTTTTGTATGTGTTTTCTAATAAATTCATCATGAACAGAAATCACTAAAAATTTCTCTTATTATAATAATTATTGTCTGAAATTTAACATAATCTTTTAAAATTCAATTTTCAATTTAAAAGCTTTTAAAATTTAATTAATTCTAATCTATAATTTTTTGAAATTTAATAATTATATCTCTTTTGAAATTCAATTATTTTTAATTATTTTTATAATTTATTCTTTGAAAATTCAACTATTCGAAATAATTTTTCACTTAAAAAGTTTTCAAATTACTGTATTTTTGTCTGCAGTTTTTAATAAATTTTTTAGTGAAATCATCAAAAAAATTTTAATTAAAAATCACTTCAAGTTCAATTAATTTTTCAAAAATCAAAATTGTAAATCTTTAAAAATTCAATTACTTTTAAAAAATGTTTTATCTAAAATTATTTGATAAATTATTTTTAGTTCTGAAAAATTTAATTATTGTCTAAAAATTAACAAAATCTTTTGAAATTCAATTATTTCTAAAAATTTCAACTTTAATTCTTCCAAAAAATTATTATTTAAAAAAGTTAATTGATTTAAAAATATCTTTAAAACTTGATTAAGTATTGATTGAAAATTTTTTTTTGATCATCAAAACTAAAAACTATGACAAATATTTTATTTGTTTAATATTTAATATCTTATAACATTAGTTATTTAAAGTAAAATATTTATTAACCAATTCAATTTTGTTAAAATAAGAAAAAAATCGACTTTTTCGACATTTTTTTGGAATATAATTCGACTAAAACGACTTTTTTTGTACCTTAAAATCGATCCGAGGCCTGTTCATATTAAATATTTTTTCCTTTCGAAACATTGCCAAACAAGTGATTTAGTGTTTTATTTCTCACTTCCAATAATGGAAAAATTTCCAATTTCTAATAAAAAAAATAGTTTTTTATTTGTTAAAATTATGAAAAATTGTAATTTTTAGCAGACTAAAAAAAAAGATTTTCTCGAGATACCGTTGACAAATTTTTTTGTTTTAAAATTAAAAAAGAACATTAAAAAACGTTTAATATTATTAAAATTACAAAACTTATTCTTTGGTACAAAAAAAAATAAATAAATAAATAAATAAAAATAATGAAAATGACACTTTTTAAAAATATCTAAATAAAATATTGTCATAATCACTTCTTTCAAGTTTTATTCTTCTCACAAATTTTATCATTTTCTAAGAAATAAGGAGAAAAAAAAATTTCTATAAATTTCATTCTTTAAAATGTACTTTATTCAATTAAAAAAAAAAATGGGTCATCGCACAATTTTGACTGTAGTGAATTGTTGTTCTAAACGAAAGTAAATAATCCCTAAAACATTAACTCATTAAAGAAAAATTTGTAGAAAGTAGTGGGTGTTGAAGTTTTATCTAAAATTGTCATTTTTAAACTACGACAAACCTTTGATTGATTTTAATTTGTATATAATGAATTTTAAAGTATTTTTCCTGTACTTTTTAATACTTACAAAAAAATTAGTTACACCATTTTTCATAATTAAGCCTTATTTTTTTCAATTTTTACCTAACTGGGAATTTTTTTAAATTGAATTAAAAAGCAACGATTTTTTTCAAAAAAAAAAAAGTATATAAAAAAAATTGTGAATTTTTAAATAAAACTGAAAGAGTTTTTGATGATTTTATGCGTGAATTAAAAATTATAAATATGATAGTGGAAGAATAATGCATTTTCTAGAAAATGTAAATTTCCTTAAATTTAGCAGCTAAAATTAAAAGAAAAATAATTAATTTTTAATGAATTAGATTATTTTTTTAACCAGTAATTATATATATTCCAAAAAAAAAGTGGATTTGTTTTTTATTTTAACAAAAATATTTTACAGATTTTTAAATAAAAAGTTTTTTTTTTAATAATAATCCTTTTCGAAGGGTTAAAGTTGAAATTTTTAGAAATAATTAAATTTAAAAAGGATATTGGTAATTTTCAAACAATTATTAAATTTTACAGAACTAAAAATAATTTATCAAACAATTTTTGGAAAACATTTTTTAAATTTAATTGAATTTTCAAAGATTTAAAATTGAGATTTTTGAAATTAATTGAAACTTTAAGTGTTTTGTAATTAAAATTTCAGATGATTTCACTAAAAATTTATTAGAAAATGCGGACAAAATACAATAATTTGAAAATCATTTTCAATTGAAAAATGGTTTCAGATAGTTGAATTTTCAAAGAATATTATTAAAATAGTTAAAAATAATTGAATTTCCTTAGAGTTATAATTGAAATTATTAAATTTCAAAAAAAAAAATTTTCGATGGAAAATTTTAGAAATAATTAAATTTTAGATGCTTTTAAATTTAATTAATTTTGAATTAAAATTTTTGAGATTAATGAAATTTTATTTGAATTTAAATTTGGAAAATAATTGAATTTCAGTTCATTTTGAATTGAAAATTTTCGGAAATAATTGAATTTTAATTGAAATTTTGGATAATAATTTAATTTAAGTTCATTTTTTATTGAAAATTTGGATAATTAATTTTGAATAGAAATTTTAGAAAATAATTGAATTTTATTTCATTTTAAATTGAAAACTTGGTAAATAATTAAATTTTAAATTGAAAATTTTGGATAATTATTGGATTTTTAATTAAAATTTCGGGTAATAATTGAATTTTAGTTGATTTTGAATTGAAAATTTTGAAAATAATTGAATTTCAATTAAAATTTTTAAAAATAATTGAATTTTATTTTATTTTAAATTGAAAACTTGGTAAATAATTAAATTTTAAATTGAAAATTTTGGATAATTATTGTATTTTTAATTGATTTTTAATTAAAATTTGGGGTAATAATTGAATTTTAGTTTATTTTGAATTGAAATTTTTAAAAAATAATTCAATTTTATTGTGATATATATTTTTTTTAAATTATAAACAATTGTTAAATTTCATAAAAATTTTAATTGAAAAATAATTTTGATATAATTAAATTTGTGATGTATTTAATTAAAATTATTAAAAATAATTAATTTAGTGAAGAATCATTTTAGTTTAAAATTTGTTAAATAATTGAATTGAAGAAGATCTGAAGAAGATCTAAATTTTATACTAAAAAAATGTATTTTATTTACATTTCGTATTTTTGAAAAAAAGTCGGAAAAAGTCGTATAATCCAAGGCATGTAAACATATAATTTTCATTATTATCATTTAATATGTAATAATATTCTAATAAATTAAATTATTATTGATAATATTAATCTTTAATTTCTTTATAACAAACAATTAAATACTTAATTTGGCTCGCTTGCGCGCGTTTAATTTTGCTAGTTATTTATAAAATGTTAATAGAAACAATGTTTCTCATGTTCTATGTAAAATTTAAAACTTATTTCATTTATTACACTTATATTTTTGTGTATAAAACCGTTATAAGAAAAAAAAAAATGACACTCAAATTGAAAAAAAAGAGTTATCTAATAACAAATAAAATCCATGCAAGGAGAAATGTAATGTTAAACGCTAATCGTGAATAGTATTCAATAAAGAACAAATGTATGTTGAGAATAAGTCAATTTTACGCTTCCGGAATCAATGTTCAACACTATTTCTTTACACGGCGTTAGTTTATATTAATTATTTTTTTTCTCATTGTAATTTTTTTTTTATCAATCATTTTATACTTAGAAATATATTTAGAATATAAATAACAGTTTTTAAATTTTCAATAGGACATGAAGAATTTTTTATTTCTAAATAAATAATAAGAGAAAATTATTTGAAATAATGTTTATTAAAAGAAGAATTATTTTTGAAAACTTTTTTTTTTATTTAAACGACAATGTATTTTAAATAGAGAAAAAACTCTTTTGTGTTTGCGAATTGAACAACTGCAAATCGAGGGAAAAAAACATGAATAAATGATGAAGAAGAATTATTAGAACAATTAAATAAAATAGAAAAAAATTCTAAAATTAAAAAGAAAAATTGGAGTTTTATGGATATTTTTGATGAAACTGAAATTAAAATAATTGACAATGAAAAAGAAGAAGAATATAAATTAAGTGACGAAGATAGGGAATTTTTAAATAAAACTGAAAGAGATTTTGATGATTTCATTTGTGAATTAAAAGTAGGAGTTAAAAAAAATAAAGAAAGTTTTAATTACTGTAGCATCGCAAGAAAAAGAAAATTTCAATAATAAATGCAACAAGGAAAAGATCGAAAATTAATTGAACAGAATTAAAGTGAATTAGAAGATTTAATAATTAAATTAATTGACAAAGTCGACACAATTATAAATATAAATAAAAAAATTTGCGAAAATGTTAGATTAAACGTTGATGAAAGTGTAAATAAAGTTACAGAAACAATAGAGGATATTGAGAAAAAAGTAAACACTTGAGTAGAGAAGAATATTCAATTTTGGCAACATATAATGAATTAAAAATAAAAAAAAAAATGTATAATAATTTTGAACAAAGAATAAATAATTATTTATTTAAATTTTATTTTATTAAATATTTAAAAAAATTGATTTTTGACTATTGAAATTCCATTTAAAACTAAAATTGCACTTAATTTTCAGAAATGATGAATTAAAAAGTAAAACAACAAATTTGAAAATTAATATTTCGCGAAAAAGTAAAATTAACACATGATTTGAAAAAGAAACTCTTAGTCTTTACTAAAAAAAATTGCAAAAGTCTAATTTTAAAAAGTATATTTAGAACAAAATATTCTGTCCTGCATTTTTATTTTTCGTGGACCTGTATGTTTTATTCTTTAAAAATTTAAACAAAGAACTTCTTTAAAAATTAATTAAATTAAAGAATTAAATAGTTACAAATATTTTAATTTTAGAAAGTAGGGGATTGTTGATTTATAATAAAATCTGGTAACATTATTTTAAAATTAATAATTTTAAGACAATTTATAAATTTGTGATTTTAATGTTATTTAATTCTAAAATAATTTTTAAAAATCTAATTCATTATTATTATAAAATTTTTCAGTTTATATTAATATTTAGAAATTTATATTAATATATATTAGTATTAATATTTTTTTTATTTTTTTTTCAATTTAACATTTAAATGATAATATAAATTATAAATTTTTAAATTTTCTTCATTCAACTTTTACGGTTTATATATCTTTTAAATGTAAATATTTATGCATCTGTTTATAAGTAATCTTAATTCTGTGAAAAAACCACGTGCTGTTATCTTTGTCATATTTGCAAGAATAAGAGTAATAATAAGTTTTCATCAAAAGAACACTTGAGTTTATTTAAAAATGAGAAATTTCTTTGTGAAATAAAATTAAAATTTTGTCATTTAGTGCTTTTTAAAATCTATTTTCTTTTATAATAATTTAATATTTTCGGTTTTTTTTTTTTGTTTTAAGTTGTTAAGTATAAAAATTTGTGTCGAAAGTTTAATAATTTTCAATGTATTTAAAAATGAACGTAGAATTAAAAAATTTTCTTTTTAAACTTTATTTCATTAAAATTTATAATATTTAAAAATTCTAACAATTAAAATTTTGCTTAATAATTTTATTAAGATTCATTATTTATGTTGAGTAATATTTTAAAAAAAGAACATATCGAAAAGAAGCAGGAAAACTAACTGCAGTTAAATGTTTTCCGAACCATCACAAGTTTTAATATAATCGTGGATTTTTCCTTTAGCAGCGATTGCTTTTGGTCTTTTTATATTTTAAAAATAATATATAATATTATTTGTAAATGAGAAGAACAATGTAATTATTTAATTTCAAATTATTCGGAATTTGATGATTCATCCAAATTTTAATTGATTTAAGTTTCAAATTATCTGAATTTCAATTTGTAAAAATTTTAATTGATTTGAATTTCAATTTATCTGAATTTTAATTTGATTTAAGTTTCCGATTATCCGAATTTCGGTTTATCAAATTTAAATGGAAGTTTAGAATTATCCACATTTTAATTTATTCAAATTTTAATTGATTTGAGTTTTAAATTATGCGAATTTTAATTAATTTAAGTTTTAAATTTTCCGAATTTCAATTCATCTAAATTTTAATTGACTTAAGGGGAGGCATTAAATCCAATTTTGATTCACTTAAATTTAAATTATTAAACGAGGTTATATTTTTTTCTTTTATCATTTGGGTTCTAAAAGATATGAGGTGGTAAAAAAATTTTATTTTAGAAATTTTATTTTTTGAAAGAATTAATATTTTTGAAAATCCATGCGAGAAATACTTAAGAATCATTAAAAAAGTGTAAAAAAAAAATTGTCGCTTAAAAATAGTCAAAAAATTGTGAAAGAAGATAGATATTTAAAATATTTTATTTTTTTAAGTCTTTAATTTCTAAAATGACCAAAAATTAAAATTTTATTTTTTTACCATTCTATATGTTTTTTTAGGACCCAAATAATTCAAGAAAAAAAAAAATATAACCTCATTTAATAATTTAAATTTAAGTGTATCAAAATTAAGTGTGGTGCCTCCTCTTAAATTTGAAATTTTCTAAATTATAATTGATTTAAATTTCAAATTATTTTTTTTAGTACATAAAGTTTTAACTGTAGTTTATTTAATATTGCAGGAGAGTATTTCAAAATGGGACGATACACGGGAAAGAAATGCCGCCTTCTCACAATGTTGTGGTTGACGACATTTTTCTTTTTGGTAGAGATAATTGTAGGATATGTGACTAATTCAATGGCTTTAATAGCTGATAGTTTTCATATGTTATCCGATGTGGCTGCATTAGTTGTTGCGTTTCTTTCTGTAAAGGTAAGTTTTTCTTATTTAATTTTCTCTTAAAATTAAACACAATTAATATATTAAAAAAATTTTATAGTTTCCTTTCTTCGAACCAAATTTTTCTTCTGTTTTACCTGTTGATTAATTATTTAGTGTTAATAAAAAAAAAATAAAAATTACAGATGTCACCAAAGAAATGGTCAAAAAATACGTTTGGATGGGCCAGAGCGGAAGTTTTGGGAGCCTTAGTGAATGCTGTGTTTTTAGTAGCTCTCTGTTTTAGTATTACAGTCGAAGCATGTAAAAGATTTATTGAAGCTGAAGAGATTCATCGAGCAGAATTGCTTGTTGCTGTAGGAACTCTTGGTTTGGTCGTCAACATCGTTGGCCTTTGTTTATTTGCAGGTATTTAATAAATTGTTTTCTATCAATTTTAATCTTTGGCTACCATTTTTTTCAATAAAATTAAAAAATCTTTAATAAAGTAAAGAATCAACATTAAAAATTTACAATTATAGAAATTTGATATTTTAGAAATAAATTTTATTTTTACAGAGCATTCAAGTGGACATGGACATTCACATGGATTGTCCAGAAGTCATAATAGATTAAGTACACTTGTCAGTACAGATGACAATGAAAATGATGAATCGTTTCAGCATTCAAGGTCACCTAAAAAGAGAGCACATGGTCATTCTCATGATGCAAGTCAAATGAACATGCGAGGAGTTTTTCTTCACGTTCTTTCCGATGCTCTTGGATCTGTAATCGTTATTGTTTCAGCTCTTATTGTATGGCTTACAAAGTGGAGCTATAGGTATTTAATTAATTAATTTTATTTATTTATAGATAAAACAAGCTCTTTCATACAAATAGTACTTTTAAATTAAAATAGTTATTAATTAATTAATTAATAATAATAAAGAAAGTATTACAATTTTTAAGAATGATAATCATTTTTCTATTACAGATATTATATGGATCCTGCTTTGTCCTTATTACTTGTCATTCTCATTCTAAAATCTGTGTGGCCCTTGTTACAAGAATCTGCGTTGATTCTACTTCAAACGGTGCCTACACATATCCAGGTGACTTTTTAAATTTATAAATAAATTAAACTCAAATGGTTAACAATAATTTAATATTTTTAAATAAAAGTTTAATAGATTTATCTTTGGAATTTCATACTAGATAATTAATTAAAAAAAAATTCATTATATCCTAAGCTAACTAATTTTTTAGAAGGATTTATTTGTTTCTCAAAATCTATCTATAATAAGGAATTTACAAAATAAAATTTTGCTTTTTGCAGGTTGATGCTATACAGCAGCGATTATTAGAAAATGTAGATGGAGTTTTAGCTGTACATGAATTTCACGTTTGGCAGTTGGCTGGTGATCGTATCATCGCTTCTGCTCACATTCGTTGTCGTAATCTTTCAGAGTATATGAAAATTGCTGAGCAAGTCAAAGAATTCTTTCACAATGAGGGCATTCATTCAACCACGATACAACCAGAATTTATAGATGTAAGTATAATAATAGATAGATAAATTACATTTATAAAAATAAATACAATTCTTGTCTACAACATTTTTTCAAATTTTTAATATTTAATAATTTTTTAATATTAACATCAAATAGTACTGAAAATAGTGCTATTATTGTCACTATAGAATTTACATTAAGTAAATACATTTAATAAACATAATTCAACTAGTAATATGTTAGGTTAAATTAGTAAATTAGTAAATTTTAATTTATTTTCGCGTCTACACTTATTGTCCGCAACTCAGGAATCTTTCAAATTGGTTTGTTTTAAAAAGGGGTAAATTTAAAAGAATTGAAAAGATATAATAATGCTCTAAATGCATTGAAATCTTTTAGGAAAGTATATCAAGAAAAATAATGAGCAAATTTTTAATGGAATGAAGAAACTAAAATGCGCAAATTAATCGCATTACGTACTTTAAAACTAAAACTTTGACAAGTGAATTGAAGAAAAGAAAGAACATTGATAATTAATAAAATTATTTAATTTTTACAATTTTATTTGTGATGATTTTGGGAAAACTCGTTTAATAACGAACTTTGGACCTTGGATTTAAAAGAATGAACTTGGAACTTGAAAGAATTGGAAATAGAAGAAAGAACTGAGAGAATTAAATTGAACTAAACTAAGAGAACTTGAAACCTTAAAAACTACTGACTTTTTCATTAGGGTCTTTAGTGTTCATACTGGTATCCCTTCTTAATTTTTTTGAGACGTGTGCAGGTTTGGGGACGAAAATTTTTAGATTGGAAAATATCAATGATTACATGCAAGGGATGACTTTGCGTGAGCGTAACATAAGATTAGGGTGTCTTAAAAAAGTGGGGATCTAAAGTTAGATCCCTACTATAGATCCCCTTATCTAAGTTAGTGGTATTTTTAAAAGATGGAGCAAAGATTCACTTTTTAAGCGAATTTTCAAAATTACAAGAATTCTTAAAATTATTTAGAAAATACATATTTTTATAATTTTTTTACGAGGGAAGTGGAAAATTTGCATAAACCTTGGTTTCCAAGGCATATATCTGGAGCCCGGTGCTCCGAGGTTATGTGAGGATGACCTTTCTTGTTCTGGTCGACCCACTAAAAACAACACCCTTTAGCTGAACTAATCCTCACACTACGGAACTGCCGTCAAGCTTTAAACTTCGTAGGTGAAGGTCCCTGGGATCTCGCTGTCGCGACCCTTTCCGTTGTCGATCTTACTGGCCTACTTGGCTTTGGTTCTTGCGAGAGTCTTCTGGGCTATCTCGAGGGCTGACCTAATGCTCCACTTCCAGCGACGTGATTGAGAGGAACCTTGTCGCCGGACTTCGCTTTGCAGAAGAAGCAACTGAGGCTGCTCTTGCAATCTGCAAACTTAAGATCGGCTTGCCCGCACTTAAAGCATGCAGCAGATCTGTCTGCTTCCTTGCAGCTTCTTGCTAAATGGCCGTAAACCAGGCATCGGTGACACTGGACGATCATGACTCTGTTTCTTATTTGACAGCACATAAAGACAATCTTTATGCGCTCCAATTCCTCCAGTCTGGTAGCCTCTTCTTGGTCATCTCTCGCTTGTTGGGTCCTAAGACCGCCAACGTCCTGCTTTCTGAGTTCTCGTTCCAGCGCTTCCTGGACTTCTGCTTCATGGGTAAGGGTATCCAGGTCGTGGATCTTAAGTGTAATCTTCCGAATCACCTCTGACCCTGATCAAGAGGTCTCTCTTATTAGTGGGCCTTGCCACCAAGACTTACGTGTGGCTGATGTCACGAAGCGGAGCTCTCTCAGCACATCAGCATACGTCTTATCTGAAGCGACTCTGACGACCACTGTTGATCCTCTCGAATCCTTCGTCTTGTTGGACTCCTTCGGCTACGGTGCCTCCTTCACCTTGACATCTTTCCTCAATGGAGGTGCTTCCTTCTTTTACTTTTTTACTTCGACTTTTGTCTCTTCCGGACTGACGGTACCTCGTTTCTTCTTTTGCGCCTCCATGACCGCGCGTCGAAGACGTTCCTCATGGATACGCTCTCTCTTGTTGGTCCGTTCCTCCCGGTTGCATGCTGCATAGTCTAAAGCGGAGTTCAATTTCACATCCACAAAAACAAAAATCGAAAATCTCATCGAAAGAAAGATGTCATTGGGTCTTTTAGGCCCAGCCTTTGCAAGTGATGACTACGTAGACGTCATTTGGTATTCTTAATTTATGCTAGTATTTGGTTGCATTTAACGAAGTTAAATAAAATAAAACGGCAGAATCTTGATTAAGAAAATAATAAGTAGCTTGTTAACTTAAAAATGTTTACTTTTGGAAATGAAATCGAATTGATTATTTCTTTTTTTTACAGTATCAAAGTAATAGTGAAATAAAGGAAACTCCTACAGAAGACTGTGTATTGGATTGTCCAAAGACTGACAAACCTTGTAATCATGCAACTTGCTGTGGTCCATCAAAACAGGTTAGTTTGACTCAAAAATCCAAAAAATTCTTTCATCTCTTTAAAATCTCCCATTTTCCTAGCATAACTCCAAAAGAAATGAAAATTCCTCTCTAAGTTGCCTTAAATCCAAGTGCTTTGGTGAATGCTTACATGGTATCAGCTCTGATTCAAACATTGTCATAGGTAAATTACGATTATTATTTTATTTATTTTTTTATTAATATTTTGCTCACTTTTATTATCCATGAATTTAAAGATGATTTTAGATTCTTATGAAAGTGAATTATCATCTTTCATTACATGGTTATAATAAATAATTCTCTTTCACTATCTGAAATTTTATTTATTCTAAATTTTATTCAATATTTTTAAGCTTTTGAATTTTAATTACACAGGAAATCAATGTTTTCTCTTTTTTTTCATTTCTATTTTTATATTACGCTATTTGCATGCTTTTATAATTACTTTATTATTTAATAACTCTTGACTTGACAGAAGAAAATAAATTATCTGTGGTCATTTTCCAAGTAGATTCAATCCTAATAGATTTCTAATAAAGGAATGTAGAATATTTTCATTGACCAAAAAAATTCTAAATGGAGAAAATGTATTTGAATAAAATATTATTTTTGTTCTATAATTTATAGAGTGAATCCTAATAGATTCTGCTTAAAAAAGAATTTGCAAATAATTATTCTTTTTTTAGTATCCTAATAGAATTCTACAATAGTCTATTAGAAAGGTGATAATTAAATTTCTTAAATGTGAACCCTTGTTGAAACCTTTAAGGAGATGTCCCGTATATAAAAACTGAATCTAATTTAGAATCTTTTCTAAATTTTATACGAAGTTCATCTTTGATGCGAATAATTTTTAGTTGAGTTAAATTACAAGAAAATTCTATCGCCGCGCCTGGTTGGTTTAATTCCAGTGCGGGTTTAAGGATTAATAAAATCAATAATGAAATTTATAAACGACATTAAGGGATCAACCCTTAACAAAATTCACCCCAGTCTTCTAACTTCTAACCCCAGTCATCTATAGAAGTTTTGTTTAATATTTAAAAATAATATTTTCCGTTACATCTTCTATCTATTAGGATTTAGTGATTTCCTATTAATTTCAATTAAATGAAGAAAATTAGGATTCCAAAATACATGAACGTACTCGAGATTTGTAAACAATTTATTTTAACAGCGGCAAGAGTCAACTGCAGAAGAGTTGATCCCCATAAAAATTGTCCCGGAAGCTAAATTAAAATAGTAAACTTTTTTGCAGTTGTAATTCGACTTACAATGGAAGCTATGAGCAAAAGTTAAAACATGCCTCAACTTTGGCGACTTCCCCAACTTGATTATGTGAGACTTTGATAAATTTTAATTTAATTTGTAAGTTGAGATTTTATGCTGTACTTGCATGGTACAAACTAATCGAAAGTTAAAAACGTCAGACCATCCTACTACTAGATTTAAATTCAAATTAATTGAAAGCCCTGCAATGAATAGATAGTCCTACAGACACGGAAAAAACTGTTGAAAAAATGTTTACTTAATGAGAAAAAGTGTTGCGTTAAAGGGTGGGGCAATTTATTTTAAGAAATTAACTGTCCTTTTAGATCAAGGTGCAAAAGTCTGGCACTTAGTCTTGAATCCAGAGGTTTTCGTTAAGTTGCTTACTGTATATAAGTACTCTTAATTTTTTATAGTAGGGGAGCCCAATGTGTTTTTTGGGATTAACTCGAGCGTGGCAGATGAACACAGGGAGAGGATACCTTGCATGTTTTTGCGTACCTCTTCCCAAGTATTAACGCTTTTTATCAAGATGTGCGTTAGGGTGGTCCTTATATGGGGCAAAAAATGTTGCTTTAAAATTTTTCATCGGGCACCATCTCAATTGCTTCTCTATACTAAGAAACACTCTCAGTATTTTTATTTTATTTTTAAAATAATATTTTGAGGTTGCTACCAATGTTTCAATTTTAATTTAAAACAGCAAAAACACTACATTAATCATTAAATTTTATTTATTGATATAAAACATTCATATGCAAAATTTCTGCAAACATTACAAATAAGAATATGTTTTAATACTGAAATTGTTTAAAATCAGGATACAAGTGTCGAAAAATGCAAAAGACACCAACTCTTCTGATAAGTACCATAAATGGCCCAGGATTTTTTTCATATCAACTTTGGCAATTGCTGAGTTTATACTTTTGAAGGATTCAAGGTCTTTTAATAATTGTAGATCGTTTCTCGGTGCTAAATATCCGGCAGTGGCTTGAAACCAGTATTTTACATATATCATGATTGTGAAAATACATATCTCTTTGACTGCTTTTTCTTCTTTTTTTGTAAGTTTAAACTGATGTCGAAGGAGGAAAATTTTCAAGCAATATATGGCTTTAGCCATCCATCTAGCACGATGAAGACCAGCAGACCTCCTAAATGATACTCCTTTTTTAGGAACTTCTCCCAAGTAAATGATCGTAAGATTCAGCAACTCTTAATAGTCATCTCGAGATTGATATATTTGGAGTTGGTTTTGTGCAAAAGAAATCCTGTCTTCAGCAACATTTTCGATGATCTTCAAGGACGTGGTATCAGAAATTACTGTCTTATAATCATTTTGGTCAATTTTGTCCCAATTTTTTTAAAAATTTTTTAAACAATTGAATATTAGGCCCACTAGATGGACCGAGCGCTTGAACTAATACAGCTTGTAACATAATTTCTACTATATGGTGGCGACAAGCCAGCCAAAGCATATCTTTCTCTATTTTCTGCTCCAAAAGAATACAAGCTCCATTTATCAAACCGGTGTTTACAGCGGTAGTGTCAAAACAAACATTTTATTTGCTCGCTTAAACCCCATGAAGTTATTGTTTCGTAAACAGCTGATGCACATGCTTTGCCTGTTCCACAATCCAATTTTGGAACCGCTAGAAGCTAATCTACTCCAAATCCCGACACTAAAATTGGCAGACGATCTACAGTTTCGTGACCACTTATGTCTTTAATTAACTTGCCATCCCAATGAATCGTTAATGGCAACTCAGGATTGAACTCATTTTTAAGAGATTATGCAATTGCTTTTCGATTTTTTAAACGATTTCGCGTATGGAAGATCTATTAACATTAAATTCTGAAGGGTCACATCCTGCACTTTTCAATGTGGATGCTATGACCATAGCAGCTTTTCTATCACTTAATTTTGTGACATCAAGGCTGGTAGCTAAGTAGCTATTTATCACCGTCCGACAAAATTTAACTTTTTTTCACACACGAAAAAATCAACGATTTTCAGAAACTAGGACCAAAAAAAAGATACCCGTGTCTGGCCGTTTTGCTAGATCAGGTCATTTTTTGCTTTTAGGGGTAAAAACAACCCTTAAATAAGAGGTGATAGGAAATCTTGTACAAATTAATAATTTTTTATGAAACCTGGTATTTCGGGGCTTTCCGGGTCGCTGATTACGAATCTGATGTCAGATTTTCAAAATTCAAAATGGCGGATCCAATATGGCGGTCGAAATTTATAAAAGTTCATCGAATTCACTTAAAACTTGTTAATTAAAGGTTTTTGGGGTCGCTGATAACGAATGTGATGTCAGATTTTGAAAATTCAAAATGGCGGATCCAATATGGCGGTCGAAATGTATAAATATTAATTCTTTTTTATAAAACTTGGTATCTAGGGGTTTTAAAGGTCGCTGAGTACGAATCTGAAGTCAGATTTTTAAAATTCAAAATGTCAGATTCAATATGGCGTTTCAAATTTATAAAAGTTCGTCGAATTCACTTGAAACTAGTTACTTGAAGGTTTTTGGGGTTGCTGATTACAAATTTGATGTCGGGTTTTCAAAATTCATAATGGCGGATCCAATATGGTGGTCGAAATTTATAAATGTTATTAATTTTTAATTAATTTTACCAATAGAAGGTAATTTTGATTGATATAGATTTGGTATTGATTGGCTAATTAACCAAACGTTGGTTTTATTTCTAGTTAATAAACCTCCGCCACTACTTGTAGACGCCATGACAAGTTAAACAAGTACGTATGGTTCGGAAAACAAAATGCACGTATGTTCGGTATTTACTGAATTCGAATAGAGGGTGCTGAAAATGAAATGTTAAAATGTTTGAAAGTTTGAAATGAAATGCAATGTCACTAGTTTTTGAATTTTTACATGACAAAAAGAATATATGTTATAAATATATGAAAAAATCACCTCACATAGGTATATGACTTAAACTTCAATGTATAAATGAATCACAGGATTCAACTTAATTTTCATAGGCACAAATGAACACAAAATTATTATCTGTTTTTTCTGCGTTTCCTATAAAAATGCCTCAAATAATAATTATAATTTCATAATATAGTTTCCACTAGACAAACACAATGCACTTGAGAAAACATGATATTACTGAAACCCAATGTGTATTATTTATGGAAATAAACAAACAAAACTTTTAGGTTAAGAATTCCATCAGATTAGTAAAAAAAATCGATTGTTGGAGATATTGAAGCGCATCAGATTAAGGTAAGGTGGTTCAATTACTAGCTAAAAAATATACATTTAAAAAATCTGACGATTTGAGCGTAACGTAAGGGAGCGGGAGGGTTACAAATTTTCAAAAAAAACGTTGTCTTGACATTCTCGAACACGGTTAAATTTTTTTTTAATTTGAAAGAAATAACACAAGAATCACGATTAAATATAATCTGAGGATTTCCAAAAGGCGAAGTAATGAAAATCATCTATGGAGAGTAGTGCGCGCAACTAGAGTACAACACGCATTCCCCACTCCCTGCCTCATCATTATAGCTGATCACAAAACAGCTGTCAGATTAACAATATTCCTCAAAATAATCGTCAGATTTTGAACTATTATGACTGCTGCATGAAGCTTAACCATCTGTATAAAAATTTGACACGATCGAGTATTTCAAGATGACGATTTTTTTTTGCATTTTCAAAAATTCGCTCTGAGTTTACGTCACTTCCGAAACGTCAGTCTTTTGATTGGGTTCATTTAACATCCTCCATAAATATCTGACGCGCTTGAACAAATTTTTTTTTCTATTTTGTATCCATCCGGATTGCCACTAGCACCACGCAAACCGCAGATGAACATACCTTTGGTATCAGAGATACGCTCGAGTAAATCCTCATTTAGCATCATGGGCTCCCCTATTATTATGTTTGACTGTTCTGTTAGACTAAGCGTCGAGTAGCGCTGCGCTATTGTCCATTAAGAATTCCTTTATACAACAGTTTTTCCGTGAGTAATTCTATCTTTTCAGAATTATGAGACCAAAATTGGTCACTTTAATTGCTAAAAATGGAGCAACTTTTCTCTTATTTAATATTTCTCAACCTTTTCGTGAACAATACCAATTACTATCATTGTAGCGCGCTGAAACTAGCAGCCGCTCTCAGCACCCTTCCATAGGCGTCGCCACAGATACTCTTTAATAGGGCCCCATACATAAAATAAATCAATACAAACAACTTAAGAACATAAAATTCAATAAGAAGATCAATAACAACAAAAAATCATGTAAACACAGACAGTAAATAATAACAATTATTATAAATAATATTAGAGAACAAAAATAATAAACAATTCTTAGTACTACAAATTTATTTCAACAATTTAGTGTTTTTTGAGAATACATAAATCGTATATTCATCTTTAAAGCAAAAAATATGTTTCCAAGGTTATAAAAAAAGTTTAACAATATTTTTTGTAATAACAAATTTTCAGCAACCTAGGCTGTATTGTGATTTTTTGACAATATTCATCATTTAATAATATTTTAAAAAGGCAAAACACATCCATATATTTTTAAGTGTCTGTACAGATGTTCCTAAACATATTTTAAATATTAAACAATTTAATTTGTTCAAAAAAATACATAGCAGCCAAACTTTATTCTCAAAAATTTGAATTTTTTTCAGAAAAAGTTTAATTAAAAAAAATCTAGGAGGGTAGAAAACGTCTATATTTTTAGGGGGCACTCAGTATATGTTCCCAGACATGTTCAATATATAAAACAATTTAATTGGTTTTAAAAAATATATAGCAGCCAAACTTTATTCTGAAAAAATTGAAATATTTTCAAAAAAAGTTTATTTTAAAAAAATCTAAGGGGGTAGAAAACGTCTATATTTTTGGGGGGCACTCAGTATTTGTTCCCAGACATATTCCATATATAAATCAATTTTATTTGTTTAAAAAAATATATAGCAGCCTAACTTTATGCTGAAAAAATTCGAATTCTAAAAAAAAAATCTAGGGGGGTAGAAAACGTCTATATTTTTGGGAGGGCCGTGGAATATGTCCCCAAATATATTCGAAACATTGAACAATTTATTTTGTTTGAAAAAAAATTCTTAGCAGACAGACTTTATTAAAAAAAATCGATTTTTTCCCAAAAAAAGTTGATTTAAAAAAAATTAAGGGGGGTAGAAAACGTCTATATTTTTGGGGGGGCCGTAGAGTATGTCCCCAAATATATTCGAAACATTGAACAATTTATTTTATTTAAAAAAATAATCAATAAATAATTATAATAATAATAAATAATTAATAAATAATTTAATCTAAAAAATTTGATTTTTACCTAAAAAAGATTGGAGTACTAAAAATTATTTATTACTTTTATTTTCTTATATTATTTATAATAATTGTTATTGTTTATTGTCTTTGTTTACATTTTGTTTTGCTATTGATATTTTTAATAAATATTGTTAGCTTTAACTAGTTGTATTGGATTTTTTTATGAAGGGGCCCTATTATAGAATACCTGTGATGACGCCTATCAAATTGTCCTAACTTTGATATTGTTGAGTTTTAGAAAATCATTTGCAGTGTTGTTGTTGTTGAGTGTTAATCTTAGCTTGTTTTTCAAAACTAGTACCCGCAAACTGTCTTTCATGATCCCACCATTCTAATGCTCTACATGATGCCTTAGGTCTAAGCCTACAATTAATGCATTAATGTTAAATCACCTAATACCACTCGCCCGAAAGTACGTATACCCGAAAACCATTTCCCTGAATATATTCTTGAATATTTGCCTGCAAAAAGTATTTTGCTTATATTCTTACGTGAATTTATACAATTTAAAAAAAAAACAAATGACACATGCGCAATTAATTTACGTGGATAAACTGCCAGAACATAGGTTCATGACACGCTGCTAATTGTGGATTTATTTCCTGTCAATTTCGAACTGATTTCGAATTTATCTTTTCACCCAGACTGATTGCTGACTAATACGGATCATTTTCGGATTGTTTTCGTACAATTTCGGAACTAATCCGGAGTGATTTGTCTATATTTAATCTGAAATCAGTCTGAAATATTAACCAGGGGTATCGCAGTGCCGCCCTTGTGCCTCGGTTTCAAACTAAAACAAAGTGTCTAAAAGTCCGGGAAACTTTACAGGTCAAGGAAAAGTCATGGGACTGATTTTTGAACTCAAAAGTCATGGAATTTGTTAAAATTTTTAGACTTTTGAAACAAATTATAAAAATTAGAGCAAAAAAGCCGCAATTTTAATTTCTGTTCTAGTTTAATTTCTGCTCTAGTTTTTCATAAAAATAGGTCATAAATTAAAATAGCCGCGTTTTTGAAATACTTTTTACAGAAAAAAGTGCAATAACGCGGCCACTTTAATTTCTGCTCTATTTTTTTTTCTTCTTAAAAATAGTGGAGAAATTATAATGGCGCCGTTTCGTAAAAATAGTGCTAAATTGGCGTCTTTTTACCCGTGTAGAAAAATCTTCTGAAATGTCTATAGTCAAGCCTGGCGCAATCTAGAAATCGTCTAGCATCGCTAGTCTGGAAGGTCTGACTTGGCCCAATTCTGGTGCTACTCAGACACTAGTCAGAGCTTGAATAGCGTCGCTGGTCTGGAAAGTGTAGCCAGATCCAGATCTAGTGCTAGACAGAAGGTCTAGATAACTAAAAAATTTTATTTTGTAATTTCTAAACTGTGTCTAGCGGTGCTGGTTTGGAAAATCTAGCCAGACCCAACTCTGGTGCTGGACAGAAGGTCTAGATAACTAAAAATTTTTATTTTGTAATTTCCAGACTATTTTTAGCGATGCAGGTCTGGAAAGTCTAGTCAGATTCAGATCTGGTGCTAGCCAGAAGTAATAGATAACTAAAAATTTTTATTTGTTGACATGACAACATAATTGAGATTAATCGGATTTTTCAATTTTTTTTTTCATTCAATTTAAACTTACATTTTATTTACTATTTTAAAAAAGAAAATTTTATATTAAACAATTTAATTTCAAAATTATTAAAAAAAATAATAAATGAATAAGCCTAATTTTTTATAGTGAAAAGAGTATAACTATTATTAAATAGTTAAATTAAGTAAAATATATAATATAAATTAAGATTTTTACAATTGTAGTTCATATAGACAATTTAAAATAAAAATTTCCATTCGATTTAGCCGCGGTCGTTAAAGCGTTAGTTTAGGTCTTAGGTTAGGTATAGGATCGTGGGTTCGATCCCCGTGGGTGGTAAATTTTAATTTAATTCTTGAAATTTAATGTTAGACGTGCAAGTGTATTGAATTGATAAGAATTGTGACTAATATTAATTTTTATTGTATGCGCAATTTTTTTTAAGTTCAGAAATTGTTCTTATAAGTTAAATCAATTAAATTTAATAGAAAATGCTGGTCATCTGTCCAGCGCCAGGTCAGACCGTCTGACTAGCCCGTCTGGCCAGCGTCTGACCGCCTCTAGCGTTACACTTTTGGACAGTGCATAGAAAATTCAAGGAATTGTTCTTTCATAATTTGTTAGACACGAAAACAATCTTTCTTGAAAATTTTTAGTTTTAATTTTAACTACTGTGTCGGAATTAATTTTTATTATTGTCATACATTTTCATTAAATAATAAAAATAGATAATTGAAAAAATGTTCTATTTACATTTTTTTTGTAAAAATAAATATAGACGGAAAAATAAGAATTCTGTTTTTGCTTAGGGTCGCGAAACACCTTCTCCAGTAGAGACGCCGTTCATGTGTAGGCAGAGGAATAGTTTGGCACGTTCGGCGACCTGCGTCGATGCAACAGAACAACAAGAAGTCAATGAAATGGAACGTGGACATTTATTATCACCACCAGGTTTTCATCTTTCCGTCCAGCTGCCTCATATACCACTTCCATCTGCGCCTCCTTCAACTTAATATTATCTTATTGATACTCTACCTCCACTACCGAAATCTCGCGGACCAAATCAGTTTTATTTTTGCTACTTTTCAGATTAAGAGCATTGTTGTTTTAGATGCCTTTTTTTTTTTAAATTCAAATGAATCAACATCTAAGATGTTGTAATTACGTAGAAATTTATCAACGTGATATTAATGAGATTCTGTAATTTTGTCTTAAGTCTCGTAATCACGTTACAATTTTTCTTTCTTAATTTGCAATACAATTTTTTTTAAAAACAAATTCATAAAAAGAGACAACACTTTTTTACTAAAAAGTTTTTTTTTCTTTTTTTTGATAAGTTTAATAAATAAATTTTTTTTTACAGCAGCTCTAAAATAACTTTTGCGCAACATTAGAAAAGTAGAGCTGTAAAATTAATTATTAAATTTTTTTTTTTCAATTCTGATCATTGTTTTTCTTATTGAATTACATGATAATTTTTTTTTTTTTGTTTTCATGACAAAAATCAAAATACTTCCAAAATAAAATTTTACAATTTTTCAAGAGAATTTCGGTCTGCTGTGTACAAATAACGATAAACTAATAAAATTATTTGTGAATGATCTTTACATTTGAAGCCCAATATTCGAAGGTAAACGTAATCGATTAAAATATTTTAATGTTCTATTTTATGGATTATTAATTTTTCAAATAGCATCAGAAATTTAATGTTTTTCATAAAAAAAAAAAAAAAACGAAAATTGTAATTCAATTTTTTTCAGGGAATATTTATAGTATTTCTTGTGCTATTTGAGTAATAATAAAATTTTGTACCGTATCAATTTTAATTATCTGATTATTTTTTAGTTTTATAATAATCAGCTATAATGTAAAATTATTTTCATATTTGAAAATTTTTTAAAAATTGATACTAAATCGAATACGTATTGTTTTCCGTGCAATAAAGAAAAGGTTTTTATGTGGCTTTCAAAATTATTGCTTGAGTTCTTAAGATTTTCATAATTTTTTTTTTTTAATTTCTTTTTCATTAAGCACATTTATTACCTAATAAAATAAAAAAAAATTTATTTATAATTGATGTGATTTGTTTCTTTTTTTTTTTTCTTGGTTCTATTAAAACTGTAATTATTCGATTTTTTTTTAATGAACGATTAGCCAGATGATTTTAATATGTATTCTCTTGATAATTACGAATATTTAAATTGAAAAATTATGAAACTAAATACATAATTTTGTTGTAACTTAATTTTTTTACCCATGAAAAATAAAACTACTTTGAAACTAACATTCCCTATAGTGAGATTTTGTTTAATTTTCAGAAAAAATTAAAAAATTTTTTAAAAATTTTTTTAAAAATGTAATTGAAATTTAATTAAACGTGTCTTTTAAATTAATATAAAGTAAAAACTCACAAAGATTTGTAAAATTAAATTTTTTTTTTTTTTTGAAATGTTTGATAAATTAGATGATTTTTATTTTCGGATTCCTAATTCACATGAAAACTTATCAAAATCATTTAGCTGATAAATCACATTGGAAGATTAATGTTAAAAAGTGTAATTTAACTTTTTCTTGCTTATTTCTTAATGAAAATAATTAATTTTTCTAAATTATCAAAAAAAAAGAAAACCTAAAATATCGCAATACTAATAGAAAAAAAACTATTATTTAAGAAAATTAAAAATTTAGTTTATGCACGAAATATAAATATTTAAATTCAAGATAATTAGATGATTTATTTGGCATTTAAAAAAAAATAAATATCTGTCTCGGATTTCTTCTATTAAACGATATTACAAGGATAAATTTCATAATACATTGCAGAAAATTTTTCCTGATATTAATGTATGATTTTTACATTCATCAAAGTCTTTTATGAAAATTGAGCTTTTTATTTAAAAATTAAAAATTTTTAATTTAACCGAAAATAATATGAATTTGGGCATTTTTATTAATTATTAATGTAAGTGCAATTTTATCGAACAATAATTAACATTTTACAATAATATTTACAAAGTAGGTAACATTTTTTTCGGATTTTTAAAAATTTTAATTCGTTTTTAAAGAGTTCGATTTTTGATAATAATTTTGATTTACAGGCAAATCGTGAAAAAAAATTATTTTCCAAAGCATTGTGAAATTACTTCTTGTAGTATTTTTAAAATTTTTAATTCAATTAAACAAAAAAAATAAATAAATTTTATTATCTTATACGAAAATTGTCATTTAACAATTAAATTGATTTTGATAGCCAAATATTTCACTGTTTGCAGTTTTCGCTGTTGATAAGACTCAATAATAGAAGAAGTTATTGAGAAGCGATGTTAATACTGCATTTTGTACATAATAATAGAACAATTATTCGTATTTATAAATAAAAATTTTTGTCAATGAAAATAAATTGTTTCTTTAATGTCAGAAACAATTTTTCATATAGTATTAATTTATTATTTAGAGCTTTAATGTAGTTATAGAGCGCGATCGTCTCGATAAGAAAAAATAAAAGGAAAAAGGCACTTGATTTAAAAAAACAAATATCGATTTTCACTCAAAATTAATTTTTGACTTATTATTAAAATTGTTTTGCAAAAAATGATTTTAATTTGTGAATAGATTTTCTCCGAACTTTCTTTTATTCAAATTTGAATTCACAAATATCATTTAATACATTTAATTCACAAATATGTCAATTAATAAAATTTTTTATTGTAAATTTCGTAAGAATTAACTTTTTTATATAGAAGAAATTTTAATGACATTTTAACTACAACTAATTATTTAAACATTTAAAATATATAAATAATTTTTTAATAGCATAGTAGCTTAATAAATAGAAATGAATAAAAAGTAAATTTTTTCAATAAATACTGATAAATAATAGAAATTAATTTACATAGAAAATCGAAAGTGCCTTATTCCTTGTAATATTATTTCTGGATTAAAAATTTATAATAAAATGTAATTTATGTAAAATACAGGTTTACTATATTTCACGCCAAAACGTATCACAATTTTTGCATATGGCCTATCGAAGGTCTAGCGACTCAATTTTTAATTGTCGACATTTTTGGATTTTAATTAAAAAATTTGTAGGTATTACATATTTATATATATAAAATTAAAAATAAGTTTATACTTTAAGGCGATTATTACATTTTTTTGTATTTACAGGGTTTAAAATTCCTTTTTTTTTAATTTTATAAATCTCTGAGAGAAATAAATAAATTTAATTAAATTTAATATTTACTATCAATTCAGAAAATTATTTTACCAAAAAAAAAAAAAAATTGCAAAATAATATTTAAACAATTTTTTCTTTAATAAGCCTATTTTTATAAGATCCACGTGAAAAAAGCTTTTCAGCAGCAACTGAATTTGTTTACTTAAAAAATGATTTATTATTAAAATCTTTAATTTAATTATTTGTTAATTTTATTTTATTTCGTTCTGTGTTATTGAATTGAATAAATAAACTATTTAGTGATTGATAATGTATTTATGATAAATTATAACGTTTTATTATTAAATAAATAAAGCATAAAGTGTACGATGTTCGCATAAGTGTGTTTGATATGCTAGGGAGTTTTGTAGTGACATTACAATTCATCGTCGATAATGAAGTTAAGCCGCCGGTTTTGCACGATAGATGTCAGCAGTCATACTTTCTTCCTTTCAAAAATTCTCTTTTTATCTTGTAAGAAAAATGTAATATTACTTTGTTTAAGAATTTATTAACTAGTTATATAATTTATGTGTTGTTAATTAATAACAACAAATATATTTTTTAATTTATTATTCCTTTCAAAATTAACTTTCAGAATTTTGTTTTAAAAATAAATCTGATATTTTTCTTTATTTTCTTTCTTTATTTCACAATTTTGAAAAATTCTAATTTTTTTATTAATAAATGCTCAAAAAATTTGTCTTAACTTGTATTTTTCCATCGTAATTTTCTGAAAAAATATTCTTTTTTAGATAAAAATTTAAAAAAATTTAGTTAAAATTTTATTTAACAATTACAATTTTTTAATTTAATTTAATTAAACGGCACTGAACATTTGAATATACATTTGATTTGTAAATATTTAATTTAAAAATACTTTTTTCTCGAAACATTTTTCTTAGAAGATAAAAAAAGGATTTTTGAACGGAAGAAAATATGACAGCTGATACCTACCGTGCAAAACCGGCGGCTCAACTTCATTATCGACGATGAATTGAAATGTCACTACAAAAACACCCTAGCATATCAAACATACTTAAGCGAACAATGTACACTTTAAATGATTGGATAATGAAAAAAAACATTAAGTAATTTTTAACGATTTTTCATCTTGTATTCGTTTAAAAATTATATTTAATTTTTCAATTGCTAATGTTTGAAATTCTATTTTTATTACCTAATATTAGAAAGAGCGTGTGCTATTTAGTTAGAAAATTTATTTAGTTTATAGATTATTTTTTTAAGGGTATGTGGGCAAAGGACGTTTTTTATTGTTTGAAACTTTCTCGAAAATAAATAATTATTTTGGGTTAAAATTTTAGAAAAATGATTTCGTTTGGTGCAAGGAATCTCGCTGTTCTTTAAATTTACAATGACATAACGCAAAAATAATAAAAATAAAGCAATAAATAGTAAAATAATGTATTATAGCATAGTTCATTCAGCGGCCACTTGCTCGAATTGGCGCTGTTTACTGGAGCACTGACACACTCAAGCAACGTCTGTGTATGCGCCGCCATGTTTGTTTTTATTTTTGTTTAAAAATGCCACTTTTTAAACTTCATTTTTTAATAATTTAACATAAAATTATGTATTTTTCGGAGAACAGCGAGATTCCTTAAACCCAAATCTATTATCCCTCAAAATTTTAGACAAAAATCTTTTTCCATTTTAGCAGTAAGACGTATACTACCAAAACACATTTTTCCATACTAGGTCACGTGGGAGGTTCCCACATACCCTTAATATAAGAAATAGCGTAACGTTTTTATACCCAAGTTTACACTATCACAATTTTGTGTAGGTGTTTATAACATTCAGAGTTACAAAAATTTCTTCTCGTCCTAAAACATTGGGAACCTAAATACTTATAGTATTCATCTATAAAGGCCGACTTTAAGCAGAAGACGTTGAACAGATTTCCACACTTTCTGAACTCTGGAAAAATAAAAAATTTTCAAGATTTATCTTTTCAATGGCTTATTTTGATCTTAAAATTGAATTTCATAAAAAATAATCATAGAAAACTGAAGGTATTTAGATAAAATGAAACATTAATTAACCTATTTTAGTTAAATATCTATGAAATCAAATTAATTTTCGTAATCATAAAAATATATTTTTCTATTTAATTACGAAAAAAAAAATATAATATTAAATTTAATTTTGAAATTATAAAAATTTTAATTTTTGTTTCAAGTGTACCTTGTAGTGGATATTTCTCCAAGAAATGCAATAATTGATATTCCTAAACCAATCAGAAGGACATGGAATGGCGAAATATTTATCTCGTCGTTTCTTTTGTTCGAGAGTATGATATCTTCTATCATACTGTAATTTAGATTTGTTTTAAAGTTTTCTTTATCCCACTTGACGAACAAACCAGTCTCTATAAATCTATTCATATGACGCTCAAATTCAGAAGTATACGGAGAATTATTTTCAACTGCAAAATACAAGTTTTTAATACTTTCCCTTTGAAAAATTTTGATAGTTGAAATCTTATTTATTTTTGAATCCATTAAGAACACTTTTTTTATATCATTGATATGCACTTTGCATGCAATTCCTTTATATTCGAAAAGGTCTTTCAAACATTCTTCCACATTGTGATGGAGTCCATCTGATTCTTTAAATGGTAAATTTTTATATTCATGATGTAAGGTGAATACGTTAGAGGCATGATTCCCTACTCCTCTTTCCAATTCACTCATGGACCAATTTGTGTAATACTCTGAATCAAGAAATACGTCTTCATAGTCTATAACTAATTTGACGGTTGTTAAGACATTATGCACTTCTGAGGAAAACATAAAAAATCCCAAAAAAATCGATACAAAAACGATTCTATCCGTGAGTCTTTTCACTTCTGAAGGAATTGAGATTCCTAGTAATGCAAGCCAAAGATCCCATAGTTTCCAAAACTGTTTATTAAACTTTAAGAATCGAAGAAACTTCCCAATTACAAATACTAATAAAAAGGTTAAAGCACCTTGATAAATTGATTTTGTAAACATGTAATTATCGATTCTTTTTTTAGGTATAAGAAACTGCTGATTAGGTGACTTTAAGAAATAAACATTATTTTCAATACGATATATATGTTCATTATCTTTTTCACTTATGTGACAAATGTTTTCTTTATAATTATGCAAAACTTCATCGCATGTCAAATGCGTGGTGATTTTATCTTTCTTTCTAATACATTCATCTGGATGAAATCTTACTCTTTTAAAATTCATTACTTTTGAAAAAGTATTCAATTTTTCTTCTTCAAATTCTTCAGGAGGTTCATTATAATAATCAAACATTAAAACTTCATTAGGATCCCCTGTGAGATTTACTTTTAATCTTCGTTCTTCGTATTCTTGCTTTGTGTCGGAATCTGTACATGTTTTTATTTTAAAACCATTCAGATCTTTTAATTTCGTTGGGAAAATTACATCTCCTTTTACGTAATTGATCATTGTGTAATTTTGAGTGAATTTATTGAAGTAATGGATTATTATATTTCTTTGGTTTCGATCAAACATTAAATTGCGACCAAAATTCTTTTTCACAACATCAAGAATTGTTAATTGAATAAAATTTCTCGACCATGCTGAACGAAGTAAAGCTTCTCGACTGCCACTGTTTTCATTCATTAGAACTATCATCAAGCACCGAGGAAAAGTGTATGGACCTGATACCACTTTCACAAAAGTGAAGAACTTCTTTATTGCTGTTCTATTATTCTCTAGAATACCTATAAAAAGTGTTCCTTTGTGATAATTTTTAGAAGCAATTGACTTTAGGTTGTTTGGATCATGATGAATGAAGTTTATCACTCGGCTTGGACTATTACTGAATGTAGCTTGTAGAATTTCTGCTTGAACCTCTATACTTTGATTTTCTCCATCGTGCAATATTATAGTCTGATATGCCTCAAATTCATTTGCTCTTATATGTTGAATAATATCTTTAAAAGATACAGAATCCGCACTAATTATTTCTAACACTCCAAAAATTGAAAATATGATTATTGTTAATATGAATTTATATTTAATCATTATGATATTTATTTCAAAACTACAACATTTAGTGATGTTTCTTCTAAGAAGGACAGTAGAATACTAACATTTAATTTCTTTTTTAAAATAAACATTGGCTTTTCTTTGTTCACGTTATTTTTTTCATTTTATTACTTCTATTATATCAATTGATGGATTGTCAACCTTCTATATAAATACAGTTTCAAGAAAATGGATTAGTATGTAATAATCATGTACAATTTAGATATATATTTCCATTACTCCAAAATTTAACCGGACAGGGAAACAATAATAACTTAAAGTGCCTTACCTCATTTGATATTATTTGTATCAAAAGTGAATTTATTATACTTTAGGTGAAGACAATCAACTACGCGTGAATTCAGTGAACAAGTTTCATTTTACTAGAAGCTGACCACCCTCTAATTTTTTTTTCATTTGAAGCTAACAATCTTCTAATCTGAAAACTGGATTCGTCCGTGCAAACAGCTTTGCTTTATTTTATGAAATAAATTTTATTGTCCTAAAGTTACGCTACTTTTAAAACTTTATATACTTTTGTTTTTTCAATTTGTTATATAATGAGGTAAGAAATAAATAAAAAATTGACACGTGTATTTCATATAATTTAATGGTACTTAATAAATTCAGAAGAAATACAACATATATTTATATTGTAATGGAAGGGGTGATACAAATGTATTTGAAATTTTCTAAATTGCGGTAAATAAATTGATACTGGCGATCGAAATTTCGATACTTATTAATTATTAATTTAGAAGGCATGAATAAATAAATTGTTTTAAATAAGAAAATTAATGGCAAATTTTATTTTTGATCACTTCAAAAGACTAATTACTGATTAATTGGCTTCATGTAAAAGATATTAATGAAAAAAAATTGATTCAATTTGATACAAATAATACTATATATAAATGAGATAAGGTAGATTAAATTATTACTGTTCCCCTGTTAGTTTGAATTTTCGAGTAATGGATA